ATTAAGAAAGGTTCATTCTTTCTTTTAATATTCCAATAATCCTAGTGGTAAATTAAAATTATTTTAATTAAGTTAAATTTATTTTTAATAACGTTGTAATATGAATGTAAAAAATAAATATAACATGTTTCAAAAATAAAAATGTTTTAAAAGTAAAATTTAAAATATCAAAATTATTTTCGAAAATATTAAAGAAATTGCGCAATTATTAAAGTTTAAGAAATCTTAACATGTTACATTTTATTTTGAAATTTAAAAATATATGTATATTAAATCAAATATTTAATCCAAATGTTAATGTTAATGTCAATATCAAATTATTATATCGATGTTATTAAATATTTGAATAAATGGAATATTATTATTTGATATTAATAGCATCATAAATTTATAAATTGTAAATTGTAAATTATATAAATAGTTATAATTGTATTTTAATTATAAACTAACATTGATATTTTAATTGTAAAATACAATACAATTATGACTATAATTATGTTATATGAAATTGTATTTACGAAATTGTATTTTCTAAATTCTTATGTAAATTACACGAAAAATGATCGAAAGTATACGTATAATGATTAAATAATAGTAATTGACATAATAGTAATTCATTAAATTTAAATATTTGTTTTTGCAGTATATATTTTTGAAATATTCACAAAACTGTTTGTATTTTCATGTCAAAAAGTCATTAATAAATTCGGAAAATTTTTATATAAAATGTAAAAATCCGATGCTAAATTAATGATTAAATATAATCATTATAACATTTGATGGACACCTTCGTTACAGAATCACGAATCAATTATTATAAATTGAATGATATGCTTCTGTTAACTTTATTTATTTATGAATTCGCTATCGCGCGGAACTGAATATTCTTAAAATAAATTATTAAATTATGATTGCAAAAATGCCATGTTCTTTCCGCGTTCTCTTCGCGTCCTTATACAAGATTATCATTTTAACAAAAGAATTTTATCGCTGTCCCTCTCGTCAGATAATATTTCTAAATATTGCTAATTAAATATAAAGAAATGTCGAATAAGAGAATGAAGATTCCATGTGATAAATCAACGATTAAATATTAGCTTCACAAAATTTAACGATTACCTTCGATATTATAGTATCGCGAGTTAATTATTATAAATTTAATAATTTATTTTTTCAGTTATATATTTATATTTACGAATTTTTTTTCGTATCGGAAAATATTCATAAATAAATTAATAAATTAAAATTGCGAAAACATCGTGTTTTTCCCACGTTCTTTTCGCGTTCTTAGACGAGATTATCATTTTAATAAAAGAGTTATCATTGTTCTTTCCGTTAAATAAATATTAGTGAAAGTTGCGTGGCTCGTATCGCCGAGGAGTCCAAACGATTTACATCATGGAGGATTATTTCTCATTAGTTCTTGTGAGATCCATTCGCGACGTTTAGTTCGGTGCCCTGTTAAAAATTGGAAATTTTTATTGTAAGATTGAAGGAATTAATCCCAAGTTTTCCTGGCAATTTCTGAAAGCAATGATTTTGTTGATAGTTCAATGACGAATGCCATGTGCTTCTTTAAAATCGTATTAATGTAAATAACATATATTTAGATGAGAGAAATGAATCTTTTCTTTTCTTCATTAAAAATGTTCCATCATTATTAAGATTGGTATTATTATTGTCTAATGCCAGAAAGATTTAATGGTAGATTAAATATGGATATAGCGTTGTGTAATAAATTTTAATTTTTCAAGTAATTTCAAGTAATTTCATATTGTAATTAATTTGTATAAATTTTTTGATAAAAATGATTACGAACGAATATATTTTTAATTAATATAATTTGTCTCTTTTGAAAAATTATTTCTAGGTGGTGGGGATATTAATATTAATTTTTAGTTCCTTTTAAGGAACTATTTGCAGGTATTCCAGCAGGACATCCATCACCATTTTGAAATATTAGTTTTTAGGTACATACCATTTTATATATATGTATAATAAAATACATGCACAAATGTTATATATTATATATAAGCAAATTATACGTGAATGTTACATAAAATGTGTGAATACTTAAAAATTTTGAGACAAATAGAATGGGTATCTCTACATCAGTAAGATATGATTAAAAAAAAGAGATTATTAATTTAAACGTTATAAGAATAAGAATCTAGAAAATTAATCCGGAATTAATTATTTAAAATTATTTGATTTATTTTATTTTGCACACTGTTCGAATTGAAATTTTTTAAATCTTGCTGGTATCGAGTTCGATTCTTCTCGAGCGCGCAAACGGTATCCCAAATTATGTGTTCGCACATTTAACACAAACTCCAATAATGTGCATGTATTTTATTATTTATAAATATAATCGTTCGTAATCACATTTTAATAAAAAAGGTCGTTATATCCATTTAATTTTCAATAAAGAAATATACTTTTTAATACTGGAAGAACATGTTTTCTGTGCATATTAATTTCATGAAATGAAGATAATGACGAAGGATAATTGTCGTTGATTTATTATTGAAATCATTGCTATCAGGAATAGTCCGGAAGATCCAGAATTAGTTGCTCCTACAGTGAAGTTCCCGTCGTTCAATGGATCACTTAACTTTTCTTCGCAGATTAATCTTGCGAAATCTGATGTAGAAACATGATATTAATCGTTCTCCTTTTTTAAGATCGCTCCTCTTTTTATCGGATTACCGGTATTTCACTCGCGTATCTGCAATTGAATATTCTGAATATTATCGATTTATTTATTCGTCGCGTTTTCTCGGAAAATTTAAATCGATTAATCTTATAATTTAATCGTTGATTTATACATTGAAGCTTTGTTTATCTTTCCACGTCTTTGAATATTGTTTTTAATAGTTGAATATTGTTTTTAATAGTTCGTGCAAAATGCTGGTAGTGCAAATATTTTCTTCTTTAATTTAAAAGACGATCGATAACTTAATTGTTTTAAACGTGATTCTTTATATTATTTAAATCTTATTAAACTCTACAATTACATCGATTTTTAGAGGGATTTCAGAGGGAAAATCATTCGTTCTGTTATTTTCTATTAAACATGGCCACAATGCGATTTTTGAATTATATTTTAAAGCTTATAAAGCTCATTTTATCTTATTCAGCTAATCATGCGCGAAATAGGATATGTATTTTATTCTCAATCAATGAAATTCGTATAAAGTCGCATATTAATCGCAAATAAATCGGACAGTGAATTTTATATTCTTAAACAATACGGATCACAAAATATCTTCGTCTGGCATCATTTGTATGATAATTATATCGCACGAGTGTCTATTGATGGTTTAGATTATCATATTATAAAAATTATGCGTATCTCGCAATCGAATATTCCGATTATTGTCGATTTACTTATTCGTCGCGTTTTCTCGCGAATTTTAAATCACGATTTATTTAGTAATTTTATTGTTGATTTCGAAGTTTATTCTATCTTTTTATTTTGAATATTTCCTTTGATAATCTATACAAAATGCGTCAATAATGCAAATATTTTCTTTTACAATCGAAGAAACGATCAATAATTTTATTAATGACTCTTTTGATCACAATTATTTACCTTATATAAAACTTATTAAATTCTATTACATATCTATTATTAATAACAAATGTCACGTAATTAATCTTCGGTGATCAGTCTGGTCTAGACTATGTAAAAATTTTTAGTAAATTTTATATTATACGTATATATAGACATTTTCGTGTAATAAATTATTCCATGTAATGAATTATTTTGTATTAAATTTGGAATTATATGTTATATTAAATTTCTATTATATTTTGTAATATGTATTTACCATAAAAATATTATGTTGGTATGAAAATTATAATAAAAATATATAAAAATAATGTTAGCTGTATTAAAATGGAACATATGAATTATTTATATTTTACATAAAGGAAAATGTACTTAAAATATTTTGCAACATTTATATTTTTCGAGTCTTAATTATAAAAACTTCAGAAGAATCAGTGATCAATTTAACAAATTCTATACATGTATTAAGAATTAAATTTTTAAATAATTAAAAAAATAATTAATAAATATCAAAGATTAATTTACTGTTAATTAAGATTTATAGAAATACGGTTAAAAATGTTTTTATTCCACAGCAGACGTTTTGTGTTTTGTGAATAAAAATATATAAATATAGCAATGAATATAGAAAAATATTTATTTCATCTTTGAACATTACATTGGAAGATTACAGTATCTTTCGCGATTGAATAATTTAATTGCTATCAATTTATATACATAAATGTCATCGTACTTAATTGTGTGTAAATATTACACATTAGGTTTATTAAATATAGTTAGTGGAGATGGAGCAATAAATATAGTTCATTTTTACAGCATATTTTTATAATCAATATAATTTGAATATATAGTAAGTCATTAAATATAAAGATAAAATATATGTATATATGTATATACTTATCCCGAATGATGTAAAAATTTATACTTGATAACTGTTATAAATTCAAAAATAATTATATTATTATATTTATATATTCACAACTAATTATAGAGAATATTATTCGCGTTTTCCTTTCGCTCATAAATTTTACAATCAGTTTGTAATTATCGGTCATATATAATGTTGAAAATTAATTATACTTCCATATTGAAAAAAATATTGTTTATACATATATATATATATATATATATATACATATATATATATATATATATATATATATATATAATTGCAATCAATTAGGTTTCGCTTTAATTATTTAAAAACACAAATTAAATATTTCAATATATTACGTTGTTGTATAATTATGAAAATAGATGTGATATTTTTTAATAATCAAGATTTTATGGAAGATAAGATTAAAAAATTTCTTTTATCTTCATTGATAAATCTAATATTAAGATTAAACTTTAAAATAACAGAATCAATTTAGAAATATTCTAGAAATAATTTTTCTACATTAAGATTTATCGAATCGTTCGGAAACGAAGATAAACATTAATTTAATTATATCGGCTAAATAATGTCGACTGGACTCACAATCAGTAAGGCATCTTCTATGTTCTTTCTTAATGCTATAATATTTTTCAAACATAATTTGAAATTTGGCCTAGCACTCGCTGTACGCCAGCAACGTAGCATCAACTTGTTCAATATTGACGTATAGTTAAGATTTATCGGCAGTTTGCCTCCAGCACGTACATAATTTATCACTTCTTCATTAGACTTGTCAATATAAGGTTGCTCACCCAACATTGTAATTTCCTATATTAAAACACCAAATGACCAAACATTGCTTTGAGAAGTAAATATGCCGAATGTCAAAGATTCCGGTGCCATCCAGCGAATAGGAAGCGGATCTTCTCCTTTCTAAAACATGATTTTAACAAAAATTTAATTTTCTGACTCAAGTTGTTCATTTAGAATAAAATATGTACAAAATGAAAAAAACTCTTATTTATCTCTTGCTTTATATAAATATAAACAATTTATTTATACTCCATATTATTCAAAAAATGTACAATAATATTATGATAAAAAAATAAAAACATTTTCAAAAGAATTCATTAATTTTAATAATTAATTTTTAATAATTAATAATTAAAGTTTTAATAATTAATTTTTTGAAATTATTGCATTTACCATGCGATAATAATCATCCTTGTACATATTTCTAGCTAATCCAAAATCTCCAATTTTAATGACACGATTCTCGCGATTTCTCGAAGATACTAAATAATTGCGACACGCAAGATCTCTATGTACGAAGCGCAACTCTTCCAAGTAGCAACAGCCTCGCGCAACATCTTCGCACATGGCGAGTAAATCCTGCAAACGCAAGGCATGCAAATCTGACGCTTGCAAATTTCGACTATCTTTTAAATATTTTAACAGATCAATTTCCATCAATTCCAACACTAGTAATGGAGAATCCCCATCTACACAAATGGCCAACAATCTTAATATATGTGTATGTCGAATGTGACTCATAAGCTTGGCTTCTTTTAAAAATTTCTTTTTCTCATTGGAAGAAGCACCTTCTTGAAGCGTTTTTATTGCAACGGATATCTCTGTGCCCGATCTTTCTAAGTTCTTCACATTTCCTTGAAACACCTGCGAAATATTTCACACAAATTTAAATATGTACTTCACTTAAAAATATATAGATTAATGTCAAGTATCATTATATTTTATTTTATATTAAATAATTCAACGAAAATTAACAAAATACATGTATGTTGTCTCATCTAAATTTATATTACATATAATCTACTATAAAAATTCATATAATTTATGTCTTTATTAGGAAAGGTCTGTTTTCCTGATCTAGAAATTAATTTGAAACATTGCTTGAAAAAACTAATTTTTACTTTTCCAAATGCGCCGCTACCAAGAAGTTTTGTTAATGTAATTTGTTTACGTTCGATTTTAGTTATCACATATTCATCCGGGTTATAATGTAACATAGGACTGTAAAGCATATTCAATTGAGTGTTTTGGCAAGGTACTTCATGTAGAATCGCTAATTCCATGTCGGCCATTGTTGAAGACAAAAATTGCTTATTATTATTTCTGCGTCGATGATATACTGTTATAAAATTTTGATTTAATTATGTAATAATATGCATTATAAAATTTATCGTTTTTCAGTAAATTTATTAGTTTAATTTTATATAAGTAAATCACTAGTAAATTAATAGTTTTAGTAAATCTCTATTATATCAGATATATGCATAATCTACATTTTAAGTTGATATCTATATCAAATATACTTACAACAGTAAAAATAGCAGATGCAGATTATAATAACTATAATGATAAAACTTAACATCAATAGTAAATAATAGTTTGTCTTTCCAGGAGTGTTCGAAATATCATCTATATTACGCAAAAACATAATTTTAATATTTTTGTATGTGCGTTTTATTTAAAAACTTATATCTACTAATAACGTTATTATAAATTAATTAATAATAAATTAATAATAAATTAATAATAAATAGATAATAATAAATTAGCAATAAATAAATAAATTTTTTTAATTTTATTAATCTATTCATATATAAAAAAATAAGCATATAATAAGCATAAAATAAGCATATAATATAACATCTATGCACCACAGAATATTACAGTTACTTTGTGACAATGTTGCAATATTGTAAATTGTAATGTAATACATTACAGAAACATTGCAGAAATATAAATTATCAAAATATCAGTTAGATATTAGGAATATAATATTTATATTTTAGAAACATTTTAAAACTATTTTAGAAACATTTTAAAACTACACACTCTTTAATTTTTTCGCACCTTTCAATTGCGTAGCCCAATTTTTATGGTTCAAAAAATGTTTTCTATTTTTTCTTGACTAGTGTATTTTATACGTAATATTTTAAATGTTGCAATAACATTGCATTCTTTCAAATATATTATACTGCAATGTTGTTATAATATATATTTCATTGCAATATTGCAAAAAGTGAACATCTTAACGTTGTCATCATAACGTTGTCTTATAATAATAACTCAGGAGAGTTTCGCAATCGATTTGCAGTATTGCAATGAAATTATTCTTCAATATATTTGCAACCTTATTGTGTTGTATGGATATTTTAATTTGCTTACCACGTTTGCTACCACGTGTTGAAAAAATAAATCTTTCATCAGTCGGCCATGTAAAAGTTTCCTTATATTCGAGATATTTCAATATCAAGCGAAACTGGTATGAAGTTCCCGATTGTAAATTTTCGATCTGGTATCTTACTTTTTTGTTATAATTCGTTCTAATATCATTCGTTGTTTGCTATTTTTCTGTTGAAACGTCTTTATACTCTAGCGCAGAAAAGATCGTCAGATTGATGTTTGAAATCCATGAAATGTTCATGCTATTTGTGTTGATCTCGCTCAAAATAATAATGTTTGGTTCTGAGTATATGTGAACAATCTTGCTCAAACTCTCGTTGTAGAAATCACTGAAATTAGTTGGATACACACGTACGTATATCAAGTAATCTTGTACTGGCGACAGGTTGATCTTTGTGAAAAATCTGCCGTCTGCCATATGTTTCGGCACATTGATAAATTGTTTGCTCTTTTGTTGCTTGCCGTTCATTAATGTAACTGATTTCCAATGCACTTCGTAGGTCACGGCTATGCAGTTCACTTTCTTGAGTGGCATCCAATGAACTACTGCTATAGTAGGCGTCAAAGCTAGAACACTTACGTTTTCTGCATTAAGCTTGCCTGAATTAGTTTTTATTGATATCACATTCGAATCGAATGGATTTATTGATAATTGATTAAAGTAAAAATTGCTTAAAGTAAACTTCAATTTGTACTCCGTAAATGGAGTTAAGTTTTGAATTTCGTAATATCGCTCGCACGTCACCACATTGAATTTTTCAGACTTGTTGAGATTGTTGTCTAAACAGTTGTCAAAACTTACGGAAATAGTATATATAGTAGTTGGTAAATTATATTTTTTGCATCCACTCTTTACAGCCGGCTTCGGAAGATTTACAATAATGCTGTTTGTCGTTGCAGTCACATTCTCAAAATTATAAACTTTTTCGTCAGGTGTCAGACATTTTATTGGAGGATATGGTTGAGAAGATTTATCGAAAGCGTGAATATGATATAAAGTCTGATAATCTTCTTTTCGATCTATTATTATCTTTTCAACATATTTGTTTGCATTTACACTTTTGAGACTTGCATATCTTTTTTCCAAAATGTAGAGATAGTAAGCATTATAATCCGTTGCAAAAATGTAAACGTATGTTTTGTCAATTGTTATAGATTTGAATATTATGCCATCACTTGTATTGTTTATGTTTTTATTGTGTAAAATCGTATTGCACATAGAAACGTTAATGTCTGTCACAATTATGTGATTGACAGTTAACCAATAAATTAACGGCTTCTCTTTATTCATGTCATCAATTATTGTAAACTGTAAATAATATTGTGTTAAACTTTCAAGTTCTGTAAGTCGAAATGGGCAAGACATAATAGATGAATTTATTTGAACAATTTGCTCATTTTTTCCATCGAGATGATATTTCATCATATCGTATTGGTTATTGAATGAATTTGATACGGCATATAAAAGTCTAAAAAATATATAATTATTTTACACATTATAAAACATTTTAACAAAAATAAAATCTTATACGTAGTAAAAATTCGAAATTCTTATAATTATATAATAACTTATTTTTTTTTACTTATGATCTTAATTATAAAACATCTTAATTATGTAAAATTATAGAAAAATTACAAATTTGCATAAATCTTTAATAGAAAATTTTTTTTTCAGGTGAAAAGTAGTAAACATACCCCATAGACGGTAACATACGTATTTTTCCATAAGCCTTCATATCCATAATCTCATCAAATTTAATTATGCCATTTTCCCACATTGTCATATCGAACTTTACAATTATCCTGAGTTTTCATCGTTATTACTTATAAAATATAGATTTCTTGCTACCCAGTCAATGCAGAGACCATATAGATCTTTATCATAGCTAGCCATTTTTGTGATATTATTTTCATTAATCTCCATTGTCATTAGGTCATGTTTATCGTTATACCAATAAATTTTTTGTTCTTGTATCGAGTAAGTGAATCCACTGAAAAAAAGGGCCAACTACAATTGTATAGTAAACTAAAAATTATAGTTAAGATTTCTATTTCTATAGTTATTACTATAATGTTGATAATAATAAACTTGTGCATAGCAATAATAACATTAACTTTAAAAGTGTCAAAAACAATTTGATAATTATAACTATTTTTTTATCAGTATACGTACTATTCCATCGATACGAATTTAGTAATGTTTGAATCCAGGTCCCATATTTCGAAACCGTCAACCGTGTGGATTAATAATTTAGGTATTGGATTTTCATGTATAGTTGACACACGGATATCCGCGTAAGGACCAGCAACAACTTTAGTATGCGCACATACTCGGAAATAATATGTCGTGTTAGGTTTTAGATTGTTCACCATGTGTTCCAATTTTGTAGTTGTGATATTCTTATCGTCATAGATTTGAATCTCTTGTAAGTTTTCGATAAAACATTTCACTGTATATCCTTGTATTGGTTCATCGGTAAAGTCAGGTTGATTCCATCTGTAAAAGAACAACAATTCAGTTTTTTTATATTTAGTAAAATTATAACAGAATTAACCTTTTTATGTCGTTGAATTTAAGGAAAAGAAAGAAAAATAAAAGAATATATACAAACTGAGAAAGTAGATATTTTACCTCAATGTCACAAAAATATCGTTTTTTGTAAACTCATTGTCGAATTGTACAAATGCTCTGAGAGATGTTGGCTTGCTCAAACTGTTTTCTAGAGATTTTAAGATCGTACACATTAACATAATTATATATAAAATTAATATATAATAGTTAAATGAATTATCTCAGTAAATCAGAAAAAATAATTTAATGTGAAAATAAAGAAAAAAAAATAAATGTATATTATAAAATTAGTACAGTATTGATCTTTAAAAAAATAAAATATAAAAAATATAAAAAAATTTTTCGTTATTTAAGACTTAGAAAGTCTTAATTATTAATCCTTAACTAAAATCAATAAATAATTTTTAATAAAATGATAAGTCACACTTTTCAAAAAATTCCTATTGCTTAAAAAATCAAAAGTATAATATTTGCGATTGCTTTAAAACAAAATAGCAAATTAGTAAAATATGTATTGACTTTATTTTAAATCATAAAAATTTTTACAATATTATGTTTATATTATGATTTTCACAATATTATTTTTACAATATTATGATTTTCTATTTCTTTTTCAACAGAAAAGAATTTATATTTTTCTCTACTAGAAGATATTTTTAGATTTGATTTCCAATCTCATTTGAATTTAAATTATATTTACAATTTTTTGTCGTAGATTTTATTATTAATGCATTTTATTTAATGTATTTTTTTGCAACTTACTGATAGGTTCTGGAGTGATAGGAATATTTGCAGGTGGAACTTCACCGACTTCTCCTTCACTTCTCATAGTCATATCATCAGAATGACTTGAGTCAGATTTGAAATTTAGTATATGATGATCATTTTTGTCGGACATTGAAATATCCTTCATAAACTATAACATACAAAAAGAATTAAGTGAGTACCATTGGAGCTGAAACGTGATTATTTCTGTTGCTTTTAATGATAAATTATATGTATAAATAATAAAATTAAACGAATAATTTTCATTCGTTATTTGTTGGGTTAATAATACTGATTTGATATATATCATTTCTAATTGATATACATATATATATATATATATATATATATATATATATGTATATATATATATATATATATATATATTAATATGATGTATATATATATATATATAAATATGATGTAATTTTATTTATATTATAAAATATATTTTTTAATTTTTTTAAAAACTTCTTGTATAAAAACAAATATATATATTAAAAAGAAGATCAATCAATATATCAATAGGTTAACAAGAGTCAATAAGGATTTATAACTGGTCAATAAGTATTTATAACGCTACTCTTAGTAAATAATACAAGTAAAAGTGTAGCTCTTTGCAACTGTTAAAACAATTTTGTGCCTAACAATTTGATTTTTTTATGATAGATTAGATAACTTTTCTCCAATTTTACCGTAACTCATTTTTTTTTTCAAAAATTTGCCGATATTATTAAAGTTTTATTAATGTTTGTACTTCAAAAATGTTAAAAATATTGTTTCTTTGCAGTTATTAAATATTAGTCGTAGAAATTATATAAATTCTTTTATCTATAACCTTATCAAATTTTTTCTCTATTATTGTTATATTTTTATCGCAAATTTTGAAGGTGATAGTATAAATCGATAATGCCTCGATAAGAATATGTGCATATAATTATATATTATTGGATATATGGATATGTACAATAAAAATTAATATAAATTTTAACATCTAGCGATCTTCTAAATTAATTTTATAAAATGAAATGTACATTAGTATAAACTTTACACTATATATCAATAAATATTATTATAAATATCTAGAAAAATAAAGAAATTTTAGAAATTGAAGAAAAATGACTTAAAATCCTGTTCAAGTGTCATCGTATCAAGTGACACGGTAATGTCTTGTGCTAAGTCCCGCGTAAGCAACAAGACGCGCCGTGTATCATTACGCGAGTCGGATAGTTGGAGATGTTCGAGATTATCATATTGAAATAATCGCTGAACGGATCGAGTTCTTATTAGGCTTAATGGATAGCTTGAGGTTGATTTATATAAGAAAAGTGTCTTTATTTTTGCTCTACGTGCATCGTGAACAGCAATATTATGATCCAAAGTCGAAATATGAAAAATTTTCATTAAGAAACGTCTCCTTGATCATCGTCGCCCAAGTCCCCAATGCGCAAGCGTAAAAAGTTGTCCGTTTGCCGCATTCGACGTAAGATTGCGCTAGCGGCGCTCTGTGATGTTAAGACTATTATATACAGGGTGTCTCATTTTAATCGATGGATCCAAATTTCTCCTAAACTACATCAGCTACAAAAAAATGTTTCAGACAAAAGTTGTATGGCTTGAAGGGGAACATAAGGTGGTGTCATTGGTTTGGCATTGAAAAGTCACCTGAAGGTTACGTGAAGATTACATCCAACTTTTTAAATGGGACTTCCTATATGCTTTTGCATATTTTTTTAGTTCATCTCGAGAGCTTTCCGAAATACTATAATTAAGTTAATTTTCATTAAGTAGTTTTCAAGTTATGAGACTTGAAATCATTTCTTAATTTTACATAAGTCGTAAAATATCTAGTAAAATATTCATTTTTCGATTATCTTATCTTAATACTTTTATACTTAATACTTTTATCTTAATACTTTTACGTACAAAATAATAAGCAGAATCAAATGGTGTAAAGAAAACATACAGTTGTTTAAGAAAAAATATGGAATTGTTAATTGCAAATTACATATTTTTTTCCTCGGAACAGTTATATGTTTTTTTTACACCCCAATTGATTCGTCTTATTATTTTGTACACAAAAGTATTAAGATAAGTTAAACAAAAAATGAATATTTTACTAGATATTTTACGATTTATGTAAAATTAAGAAATGATTTCAAGCCTCATAACTCGAAAACTACTTAATGAAAACTAACTTAATTATAGTGTTTTGGAAAGCTCTCGAGATGAACTATAAGAATATGTAAAAGCATATAGGGTGTCCCATTTAAAAAATTGGATGTGATCTTCACGTAACCTTTAGGTGACTCTTCAATGTCAAACCAATGACACTACCTTATGTCCCTCTTCAAGCCATACAACTTTTGTCTGAAACATTTTTTTGTAGCTGGCGTAGTTTAGGAGAAATTTGGATTCATCGATTAAAATGGGACACCTTGTATACAGGGTGTCCTAGACCACCCGTACACCCCTTTTCTTTCAAAAACTAAGCATTTTAGAGAAAAACGTTTTAGACAAAAATTGTATGGTTTTGAGGGGAACATAAGATGGTGTCATTGGTTTGACCTTGGATGGCATCGTTAAGGTCAGGTCAAGGTCACACCTTTAATTTCTTAAATGGAATCACCTATTTTTTATTGCATATTCTTATAGCTTATGTAGAGAGCTTTCCAAAACACTATAATAAAGTATTTTTTCATTGAATACTTTTCGATTTATAAGGTTTCAAATAATATCTTAATTTTACATAAACTATAAAATATCTAGTAAAATATTTATTTCTCGATTATCTTACCTTAATACTTTTATGTACAAAATAATGAGAGGAATCAATTGGTCTAAAAAAAAACACATAATTGTTCCGAAGAAAAAATATGTAATTTGCAATTAACAATTACATATTTTTTCTTAAAAACAACTGTATGTTTTCTTTACACCAATTGATTCCTCTCATTATTTTGTACATAAAAGTATTAAGGTAAAATAATAGAAAAGTGAATATTTTACAAAATATTTTACGGTTTATGTAAAATTAAGAATTGATTTGAAGCCTCATAACTCGATAAATGCTTGAGGGAAAAATATTTTATTATAGTGTTTTGGAAAGCTCTCGAGATCAGCTATAAGAATATACAATCAAAAATAGGGGTTCCCATTTTAAAAAAACACTTTGACCTTCAAATAACCTTGAAGGTCAAGCTCAAGGTCAAACTCAAGGTCACGAGATAAAAGCTTGGAGTAAGCCCTACAACTTTTGTTGGAAAAGTTTCTTTGTCCGACCCTTACTTTTCGAGTTATTCCCCCGTACCGGGACTTTTTGAACACCCTGTATATATATATATATATATATATATCTGTATGTTGAAGAAGCACCCTGTATATATATATATATATATATATATACAGGGTGCTTCCTCAACATACAGATCGGTAAGTCGGGTTGCCTATCTGACGATCGGTCTTCTTTTACCGACCTCGCATAATTGAAAAATAATAAAATCAGAGGATCGATCATGTAATTTTTTTTCATGAAAAGTGAAAAAATTCCTTAATTGATACATTGAATGCAAATCCGTAGGGAATGAGGAAAGTAAAATCAGCTTTTAACATTGATATAGTGTAATTGTAATATTTAATAACATAAATAACATTATATAAAGAAGATCTTAAAAATAAAATTCGAAAGGCGTGTGCGGAAATCACTCCTCCGATAATTCGGAGAGTAAGGAAAAATTTTATGCGGAGGATTGCTTTATGTTTATAAAAGAATGGCGGTTACATTGAGCATGTATTGTGAACATTAAAAAATAGTTTTTTGTTTAAATTCATTATATTTTATCTGTGTTATTATATTTCAATTGTGTCATTTTATGTTATTAATGTTATTTAAGTTATTTATGTTATTAAATATAATGTTATTTATGTTATTAAATATTACAATTATACTATATCAATGTTGAAAGCTTTCACGTTCCTCATTCCCTACGGATTTGCATTCAAGGTATCAATCAAGGAATTTTTTCACTTTTCACGAAAAAAAATTACATGATCGATCCTCTGATTTTATTATTTTTCAATTATGCGAGGTCGGTAAAAGAAGACCGATCGTCAGATAGGCAACCCGACTTACCGATATGTATGTTGCGGAAGCACCCTGTGTATATATATATATATATATATATATATATATATATATATAGAGAGAGAGAGAGAGAGAGAGAGAGAGAGAGAGAGAGAATAATACAATCAAGTTTTAATTGAACTTAATATATTATACTATATAAGACTTCCATTTATAAATAAAATTTCGAAACTTTATACATTCTTTTTCCACAACACACTTTTTCTTTTATGTTGGATAGTTTTATTTTATTTTATTTCATTATATAGATAGAGAGAGTATATATAAATTATTATCATTCATTTATGAATTACCAGCTGCAATAACATTCAATTGTTTCTTAATCAAACGAAAAATATCTCTTACCTGCGTGAAGTTTAAATCCGCATACATGGAAACATTTATTTTCTGAAGGCTGTTTGAACTGATATAATTTTTCAGCATAAACGTGATAGTTGCTCTTGTCAGTATTAAATCTTTCGATAAAATACATAAAATTGTTCCAAATATAATTTGCATTTTTTGTAAATGTTTGCACTCAATCAGTTCCCGTTGAATTTTTAGTTAGTTTTTTCTTCTCACTCTATTATTTCTAATGTGCTAATCGAATTGATATTAATTCATATATACACACATCATTCGTATGATTGTGTTACTACGTATACGCTTTTTAAAATTCACTATTCGTACACAATTACACGTTTTTTTGTGATATTTATATGATGAAGTTTAAATCAAGCGACAAGTAACGCGTAGTGTTTTTGGTCTAGTAGCGAGCACAATGATAACTGACTTTGAATGATCAATTTGATCATGTGTTGCCATGACGTCTTATTAACTGCATTCCGTTTGTAATTTTTTTTTCTCTACGGTACGATATTCGGCGTTAAAAAGAATTAAAATCTTTAAAAATTGTTTGACAAAAAAGTTATATATGTATAAAACAAAAATAGTTCTATATATAAATAAAAATAATTATATGTATATATAACTGTTTAATAAATTTTATTAAACTATTTATATTAATTTATTTCTGCGCATCTTCTCTTTGGCATAGGAGAGAGGCGTTTATATAAAAGATGTTCTGATTATAATAAAAGTAATAATGGATTTTTAAAAAGTGATTTATACGTTTTCTGTGATATTCATATAATTCATATAATTCATATAATGTAGTTTGAATACGTAACGGTAGCATTTTTACACTATAAATAAATACAAATTTACAATAGCATATAAATAACTAAAATAAATAAAATAATTGTACGAAATATTATTACCGTTTTTTGCATTGAATAATCTTATAATATAATAACGTATACAATATAATTTTATTTAATATTAACCTAACATAATATACTTAATATAATATAATATAAAAACTTATAATATTAGTTACTTTATTATTTTAATTATACGATTGTAATTTTATATACAGCAATCTTTATATACATCAGTGTGCATTAGTACATCCAATTCAATCAAATTCTCTCTTTCTCCCGCTATAAATCACCAATTACTTTATTTCCAAAAAAGTGTTACAAACACTTAATTACGTAAAATATAATTAAAAATAATTTTGTGATGCTCCGGTCTCATTTTGTAATATATATCCAGTCCATTTATATATTAAATGATATACAGTATTTTTATTTTCAAAAATATCATTATATTATTAAATAATAATTACATTTAACATAGAATGATTTAAACAAGTATTTATATAATGATCTCCTTTTAAATTCATGTATAATAATTGACATATTTTCAAATATTTTACAAATTTATAAAAATTCATTCCCTCCAACAATTATACATGTACGTACAAAAATTTATATGTATAGTTTGAAATAGGAAAAAGCTTCAAAACATAATATAAAAAAAGCTTGAAAAGAGAAAATTACAATTGTGTGTTAAAATTTATGAATTTACAAAATAGTTAATAATACATTAAAAAGTGCAGATCTTATATCATATATAATATATAAAATACAAAAATACACATGTTAAATGTCTAATAAATATCGTAAAAAAACAAACATTCCAATATTAATACATGCATATCTATCTACAATTTATTCTTTATTAACTAAAAGTTATGTATATCAGTTAGATAATGTAAATATAATGTTTACTAGATTCAATAAATCTCTTCTGTGTCACTTCTTAGAACTATAATGTTTTCGAAACAAATTTGATGTATGGTTTAATTTCGTTGTATTGCAACAGCACAGCGTTAATAGTAAGTGGACAGTTAACCCTTTAACTACGGCATTGTCAATAGATGATTAAACGTTTTGTGGCTGTCGTCAATAAGTAACTTTAAGATATGCTATGATGCGAAGATTGTTTATTAACAATTCCACCCAGATAGCAAGCACGCGTCATTTTGACGTTCCAAACTGATCATTTTTGATCATATGTCGTCAAAATGACTGATTTTATATTGACGTCTTGATATAACATTATTTTGATCATTCTTCATTTTTCAGTCGTGAAATGACGATTATTTGATTATTAATGGCATTAGTTAATACATCGATCCCATAAAAAAATCTTTTAAAGTTTTTTATATAATGTGACTTTCGCGATCAGAATTACAATTATGAAAGTAAATTTCACTGTAAAACCAGTAATCGCTAGTTCGTTCGTTTACCGCTATGATCGCTATCTCTCTCGTATTTAATTTTAGTCATAAGAATTATATAAAATTTGCAAAGAGTGACAAATAAAATTAGAAATATTAATTCGATTTAATTTCTGATAATTTCAATAGAGGAGCTTCAAATATTAAATCGATCTTATAAGTCAGACAAATAAATGTCTGGCTACTTAATGAAAATTATTTGTTCGTTATCTATTTAAAATAACAGGTTCAATATACATATAATATAAGAGTATAAAATAAAATTTTTAATATAATAAATATTTAATAAATATAAATAAAATTTTTAATTTTATATATATTTATTTATATTAATATATATTTATTTATTTTTATATTTATATTATATTTATGAAATAGATAGAGAGATGAATTGTAGTTAATAAGTATTTAATATTACTGGCAATAACGAAAAAAATGTTACTGACATATTACTGATTGAAATCAAGTCAAAATTATTAACTGATTCTTTCAATAAAATATCACTGATTTACAGTGCTGTACTTATAACTGCTGTAATCAGTGACTATTTAATGTTTTTCATTTATAATACACTGATTCACTTTTAGAGAGTGCTTTATTCTACGACACTATTAAATAATATTATTATGCTAAAAAAAGAACGTTAAAATATGATATATTTTATGACGTCAAAATACGGTACATGTCATGAATTGACGTCAAGAGTCTGTGACATTAGACCGTTACTGTTACGTTATAAAAACGTCAATTCGAGACGTTAAGAATACATAGTGAATGACCAATTTGAAACGTCAAAATGACGTGTGCTTGGTACCTGGGAACGTTATGAGTATTTGATGATTTTTCCAAATGATAGATCGTACTTAATTGTGTGTAAATATTGCACATTAGCTTTATTAAATATAGTTAGTGGAGATAGAGCAATAAATATAGTTCATTTTTACAATTGCATACTTTTGTAATCAATATAATTTGAATATATAGTAAGTCATTAAATATAAGGTAAAATATATGTGTATATATATATATATATATATATATATATATAATTATATATATATATAACTATATAATTTATATATAACAATTATATATAAATTTTTACATTATTCGAGATAAGTATATATATATATATATATATATATATATATATACACACACTTATCTCGAATAATGTAAAAATTTATATATAATTGTTATAAATTTAGTAATAATTATATTATTATATTTATATATTCACAACTAATTATAAAGGATATTATTCGCGTTTCCTCATTCGCTCATAAATTTTACAATCAGTTTGTAATTATTGCTCATATATAATGTCGAATATTAATTATAAACTTCCATGTTGAAAAAAATTATGTTATATTAAATATTGTTTATACATATGTATATATATATATATATATATATATATATATAATCGCAATCATTAGATTTCACTTACAATAGATTATTCAAAAACACAAAATAGATATATCATTATATTACGTTGTTGTATAATCATGAAAATGGATGTGATATTTTTTAATAATCAAGATTTTATGGAAGGTAAGAGTAAAAAATTTCTTTTACCTTCATTGATAAATCTAATATTAAGATTAAACTTTAAAATAACAGAATCAATTTAGAAATATTCTAGAAATATTTTTTTTACATTAAGATTTATCGAATCGTTCGGAAACGAAGATAAACATTAATTTAATTATATCGGCTAAATAGTATCGACTGGACTCAGTAAGGCATCTTCTATGTTCTTTCTTAATTCTATAATATTTTTCAAACATAATTTGAAATTTGGCCTAGCATCCGCTGTACTCCAGCAACGTAGCATCAACTGGTATAATATTGACGGACAGTTAAGATTTATCGACAGTTTGCCTCCAGCACGTACATAATTTATCACTTCTTCATTAGACTTGCCAATATAAGGTTGCTCACCCAACGATGTAATTTCCCACATTAAAATACCAAATGACCAAACATCGCTTTGAGAAGAAAATATTCCGATTATTAAAGATTCCGGTGCCATCCAGCGAACAGGAAGCAAATTTTCTCCTTTCTAAAACATATTTTTAACAAAAATTTAATTTTCTGGCTCAAGTTGTTCATTTAGAATAAAATATATACAAAATGAAAAAAACTCTTATTTATCTCTTACTTTATATAAATATAAACAATGTATTTATACTCAATATTATTCAAAAAATGGAAAATAATATTATGATAAAAAAATGAAAGCATTTCCAAAAGAATTCATTGTTTTAATAATTAAATTTTAAATAATTGCTTTTACCACGCGATAATAATCATCCTTGTAGATATCTCTAGCTAGTCCAAAATCTCCAATTTTAATGACACGATTCTCGCGATTTCTCGAAGATACTAAACAATTGCGACACGCAAGATCTCTATGTACGAAGCGCAACTTTTCCAAGTAGCAACAGCCTCGTGCAACATCTTCGCACATGGCGAGTAAATCCTGCAAACGCAAGGCATGCAAATCTGACGGTTGCAAATTTCGACAATCTCTTAAATATTTTAACAGATCAGTTTCCATCAATTCCAACACTAATAATGGAGAATCCCCATCTTCACAAATGGCCAACAATCTTAATATATGTGTATGTTGAATGTGACTCATAAGCTTGGCTTCTTTTAAAAATTTCTTTTTCTCATTGGAAGAAGCATCGTCTTGAAGCGTTTTTACTGCAACGGATATCTCTGTGCCCGATCTTTCTAAGTTCTTCACATTTCCTTGAAACACCTGCGAAATATTTCACACAAATTTAAATATGTACTTCATTTAAAAATGTATAGATTAATGTCAAGTATCGTTATATTTTATTTTATATTAAATAAATTCAATTTTATATTAAATTAATTCAACGAAAAATATATAACAAAGTACATGTATGTTGTCTCATCTAAATTTTATATTACATATAATCTACTATAAAAATTCATATAATTTATATCTTTATTAGAAAAGGTCTGTTTTCTTGATCTAGAAATTAATTTGAAACATTGCTTGAAAAAACTAATTTTTACCTTTCCAAATGCGCCGCTACCAAGAGGTTTTGTTAATGTGATTTGTTTACGTTCGATTTTAGTTATCGCATATTCATTCGGATTATAATGTAACATAGGACTGTAAAGCATATTCAATTGAGTGTTTTGGCAAGGTAGTTCATGTAGAATCTCTAATTCCATGTCGGTCATTGTTGAAGGCAAAAGTTGCTTATTATTATTTCTGCGTCGATGATATACTGTTATAAAATTTCGATTTAATTATGTAATAATATGCATTATAAAATTTATTGTTTTTTAGTAAATTTATTAGTTTAATTTTATATAAGTAAATCACTAGTAAATTAATAGTTTCAGTAAATCTCTAGATATTATATCAAATATATATGTATAATCTACAATTTAAGTTGATACCTATATCAAATATACTTACAACAGATGCAGATTATATATATAACCGTAATGATACAACTTAACATCAATGGTAAATAATATTTTGTTTTTGTTATTCCAGGAGTGTTCGAAATATCTATGTTATGCAAAAACATAATTTTAATATTTTCGTGTGTGTGTTTTATTTAAAAACTTATATCTACTAATAACGTTATTATAAATTAATTAATAATAAATTAATAATAAATAATTAATAATAATTAATAATAAATTAATTAATAATTAATTATTAATAAATTAATAATAAATAGATAATAATAAATTAGTAATAAATAAATGAATTTTTTAAATTTTATCAATCTATTCATATATATTGTAAAAAAATAAGCGTATAATAATATAACATCTATGCACCACAGAATATTACAGCTACTTTGTGATAATGTTGCAATATTGCAAATTGTAATGTAATACATTACAGAAACATTGCAGAAAAACAAATTAACAAAATATCAGTTAGATATTAGGAATATGATATTTATATTTTAGAAACATTTTAAAACATTTTAAAACACTCTTTAATTTTTTCGCATCTCCCAATTGCGTAGCCGAATTTTTAGGTTTCAAAAAGTGTTTTCTATTTACTTATAACTCAGAAGAGTTTCGCAATCGATTTGCAGTATTGCAATGAAATTATTCTTCAATATATCTGCAATCTTATTGTGTTGTATGGATATCTTAATTTGCTTACCACGTTTGCTACCACGAGTTGAAAAAATAAATCTTTCATCAGGCGGCCATGTAAAATTTTCCTCATATTCGAGGTATCTCAATATCAAGCGAAACTGGTATGAAGTTCCCGATTGTAAATTTTTGATATGGTATATTACTTCCTTGTTATAATTCGTTCTAGTATCATTCGTTGTTTGCCACTTTTCTGTTGAAACGTCTTTGTATTCTAGTGCAGAAGAGATCGTCAGATTGATGTTTGAGATCCATGAAATGTTCATGCTATTTGTGTTGACATCGCTCAAAATAATAATGTTTGGTTCTGAGTATATGTGAACGATCTTACCCAAACTCTCGTTGTAAAAATCACTGAAATTAGTTGGATACACACGTACATGTATCAAGTAACCTTGTACTGATACCGACAAATTAATCTTTGTGAAAAATCTGCCGTCTGCCATACGTTTCGGCACATTGATCAATTGTTTATTATTTTGTTGCATGCTGTTCAATAATATATCTGACTTCCAATGCACTTCGTAGGTCACGGTTATGCAGTTCACTTTCTTGAGTGGTATCCAATGAACTACTGCTATAGTAGGCGTCAAAGCTAGAACACTTACGTTTTCTGGTGCATGAAGCTTGCCCGAATTAGTTTTTATTGATATCACATTCGAATCGAATGGATTTATTGATAATTGATCAAAGTAAAAATTGCTTAAAGTAAACTTCAACTTGTACTCTGTAAATGGAATTAAGTTCTGAATCTCGTAATATCGCTCGCACGTCAGCACATTGAATTTTTCAGACTTGTTGAGATTGTTGTCTAAACAGCTTACGGAGATAGTATATATAGTAGTTGGTAAATTATATTTTTTGCATTCACTCTTTACAACCGGCTCCGGAAGACTTACAATGATGCTGTTTGTCATTGCAGTCACATTCTCAAAATTATAAACTTTTTCGTCAGGTGTCAAACATCTTATTGGAGGATATGGTTGAGAAGATTTATCGAAAGCGTGAATTTGATATAAAGTCTGATAATCTTCTTTTCGGTCTATTATTATCTTTTCAACATATTTGTTTGCATTTACGCTTTTGAGACTTGCATATCTTTTTTCCAAAATGTAGAGATAGTAACCATTATAATCCATTGCTAAAATGTAAACGTATGTTTTGTCAATTGTTATAGATTTGAATATTATACCATCACTTGTATTGTTTATGTTTTTATTGTGTAAAATCGTATTGCACATAGAAACGTTAATGTCTGTCACAATTACGTGATGGTTAGTTAACCAGTAAATTAACGGCTCCTCATTATTCATGTCATCAATTATCGTATACTGTAAATAGTATTCTGTTAAGCTTCTAAGTTCTGTAAGTTGAAATGGGCAAAAGTACATAATAGACGAATTTATTTGAACAATTTGCTTATTTTTTCCATCGAGATGATATTTCATCATATCGTATTGGTTATTAAATGAATTTGGCGATACGGCATATAAAAGTCTAAAAAATATATAATTATTTTACTCATTATAAAACTTTTTAACAAAAATAAAATCTTATACGTAGTAAAAATTCGAAATTCTTATAATTATATAATAACTTTTTTTTTTACTTATGATCTTAATTAAATATAAAACATCTTAATTATGTAAAATTATAGAAAAATTACAAATTTGCATAAATCTTTAATAGAAAATTTTTTTTTCAGGTGAAAGGTAGTAAACATACCCCATAGACGGTAACATACGAATTTTTGCATAATAAGCGTTTATCTCTATAATCTCATCAAATTTAATTATGCCATTTTCCCACATTGTTAAGTCGAACTTTACAATATATCTTGACTTTTGATAATCACTCATAAAATATAGATTTCTTGCTACCCAGTCAATGCAGAGACCATATAGATCTTTATCATAGCTAGCCATTTTTGTGATATTATTTTCATTAATTTTCATTGTCATTAGGTCATGTTTATCGTTATACCAATAAATTCTTTGTTCTTGTATCGAGTAAGTGAATCCACTGAAAAAAAGGGCCAACTACAATTGTATAGTAAACTAAAAATTATAGTTAAGATTTCTATTTCTATAGTTATTACTATAATGTTGATAATAATAAACTTGTGCATAGCAATAATAACATTAACTTTAAAAGTGTCAAAAACAATTTGATAATTATAACTATTTTTTATCAGTATACGTACTATTCCATCGATACGAATTTAGTAATGTTTGAATCCTGGTCCCATATTTCGAAACCGTCAACCGTGTAGATTAATAATTTAGGTATTGGATTTTCACGTATAGTTGACACACGGATTTCCGCGTAAGGACCAGCAACAACTTTAGTATGCGCACATATTCGGAAATAATATGTCGTGTTAGGTTTTAGATTGTTTACCGTGTATTCCAATTTTGTAGTTGTGATATTCTTATCGTCATAGATTTGAATCTCTTGTAAGTTTTCGATAAAACATTTCACTGTATATCCTTGTATTGGTTCATCGGTAAACTCAGGTTGATTCCATCTGTAAAAGAACAACAATTCAGTTTTTTTATATTTAGTAAAATTATAACAGAATTAACCTTTTTATGTCGTTGAATTTAAGAAAAAGAAAGAAAAATAAAAGAATACAAACTGAGAATTTAGATTTTTTACCTCAATGTCACAAAAATATCGTTTTTTGTAAATTCATCGTCGAATTGTACAAATGCTTTGAGAGATGTTGGCTTGCTCAAACTGCTTTCTAGAGATTTTAAGATCGTACACATTAACATAATTATATATAAAATTAATATATAATAGTTAAGTGAATTATCTCAGTAAATCAGAAAAAATAATTTAATGTGAAAAGAAAAAAAAAATAAATGTATATTATAAAATTAGTACAGTATTGATCTTTAAAAAAATAAAATATAAAAAATATAAAAAAATTTTCCGTTATTTAAGACTTAGAAAGTCTTAATTGTTAATCCTTAGCTAAAATCAATAAATAATTTTTAATAAAATGATAAGTCACATTCTTCGAAAAATTTCTGTTGCTTAAAAAATTAGAAGTATAATATTTGCGATTGCTTTAAAACAAAATAGCAAATTAGTAAAATATGTATAGACTTTATTTTAAATCATGAAAATTTTTACAATATTTTGTTTATATTATAATTTTCACAATATTATTTTTACAATATTATGATTTTCTATTTCTTTTTCAACAGAAAAGAATTTATATTTTTCTCACTGCTAGAGGATATTTTTAGATTTGATTTCCATTCTCATTTGAATTTAAATTATATTTAGAATTTTTTGTAGATTTTATTGTATGAATGCATTTTATTTTATGAATTTTTTTGCAGATTTTATCATTAATGCATTTTATTTTATGCATTTTTTGCAACTTACTGATAGGTTCTGGGGTGATAGAAATGTTTGCAAGTGGAACCTCATCGACTTCTTGCTCACTTGTTATAGTCATATTATCAAAATAACTCCAGTCAGATTTGAAATTTAGTATATGATGATCACTTTTCTCCGATATTAAAATATCCTTCATAAAGTATAACATACAAAAAGAATTGAGTGAGTACCGTTAGAACAGAAACACGATTATTTCTGTTGCTTTTGATAAATTATATGTATAAATAATAAAATTAAACGAAAAATTGCCATTTGTTGAGTTAATAATACTGGTTTGATATACAATATGTTATTCCTAATTTATATATATATATATATATATATATATATATATATATATATATATATACAGGGTGGGGAAAAAGTATGGAAGCAAACAATTATTTCCGAAACTATTCATTTTTCGACAAAATGTCTTAGACATAATTTTTATGGTATGAAAAGATGTATTATGTGACATAGACGGCATGACTTGAAATGACCCTTACGAGCTGCATACAAATAACGTAAAAAATTTCAAATGGAACTCGTCAGTTTTTGTTACAGATTCTTGTAGCTGATGTCGAAACGTTTACAAAACACTGCATATGAGCCCCATTCCCTTAAAAACACTCCCAGTTACGAAACAATTGTGATACAAACAATTTGTATGCACATGGACATTGCTTACTGATTTCGCATCATGACGTTCAGTTGCGTCCACTAATAACATGTAATTGTACCTGTTGTCATATGATACACTGTCTATGAGTATTCATAGAATTTTTTGGAAGATGAATAGTTTCGGAAATAATTGTTTGCTTCCATACTTTTTCCCCACCCTGTATATATATATACATGTATGTATATATATATATATAATATATGTATATATATATATGTATACATATATATATATATATATATATATATATATATATATTAAATATGATGTAGTTTTATTTATATAAAATTATATAAAATCTATTTTTTAATTTTTTTAAAACATTTTGTATAAAAACAAATATATATTGTATAAAAACAAATATATATATATATATATATATATATACAGCGTGTGTCAAAAGTTCCGGCTGGATAATTTGAAAAATACGCATCACAGAGGAAAATGACCTAGACAAAAGTTGTAGGATTTTTCCCGGGCAATCCGACGGTGACCTTAGATTTGACCTTGGATAGTCATTTGAAGGTCACATAAAGATTACCTTCAATTTCTTAAATGGAACCCCCTATTTTTCATTGCATATTCTTGTAGCTTATCTCGAAAGCTTTCCAAAACACTATAATTAAGTACCTTTTTATTAAGTACTTTTTGAGTTATAAGGCTTGAAATAATTTCTTAATTTTACATAAACCATAAAATATCTAGTAAACCATTCATTTTTCGATTATCTTACCTTCATACTTTTATGTACAAAATAATGAGAAGAATCAATTGGTGTAAAGAAAACATACAGTTGTTTTTAAGAAAAAATATGGAATTGTTAATTGCAAATTACATTTGCAAAATCATTTGCATAATCCCGGGAAAAATCCTACAACTTTTGTCTAGGTCATTTTCCTCTGTGATGCGTATTTTTCAAATTATCCAGCCGTCCCGGAACTTTTGACACACGCTGTATATTAAAAAGAAGATCAATCAATAGGTTAACAAGAGTCAATAAGGATTTATAACAGCTACTCTTTTGGCAAATAATACAAGTAAAAGTGTAGCTCTTTGCAATTGTTGAAACAATTTTGTGTCTAACAATTTGATCCTTTCATAATAGGTTAGATAACTTTTGTCCAATTTTATCGTAACTTAATCTTTTTTTCAAAAATTTGCCGATATTATTAAAGTTTTATTAATGTTTGTACTTCAAAAATATTAAAAATATTGTTTCTTTACAATTATTAAATATTAGTCGTAGAAATTATATAAAGTCTTTTATCTATAACCTTATCAAATTTTTTCTCTCATTATTGTTATATTTTTAACACAAATTCTGAAGGTGATAGTATAAATCGATAATACCTCGATAAAAATATGTGTATATAATTATATATTATTGGATATATAAGTATGTTCAATGAAATTTAAATTTTCTTGAAGATTGCCAGTAAATAAATAAAAGAAGTAGTTAAAATCGATCAACACTGGCAATATTTATTGAGGTAAAAAATCACAATCACGACGTTTCGACCATAGGTTTTGGTTCTTTTCGAGTGAACTACAAAAAAAATTATTTCCAGTAATACAACAAATCAGAAAAATTAATGATACTAAATTACATAGATGTTCAAATAAGATTTGAGCAACAAGTTATATACATACAGTAATTAAATTAACAGTTCTATCGTGAGAAATAAGAAATCACTTCGTCAAGATTATCATGTCACTGTCTCCATCAACACACAGAGAAAGACATATTTTAACTACTTCTTTTATGTTCAATGAAAATTAATAAAATTTTAGCATCTAGCGATTTTCTAAATTAATTTTATAAAATGAAATCTATATTAATATAAACCTTACACTATATATCAATAAATATTATTATAAATATCTAGAAAAATAAAGAAATTTTAAAAATTGAAGAAAAATGACATAAAGGTCTATTCAAGTGTCATCGTATATATGTATATGTATATATATATATATGTATATATGTATATATTAATGTAACGGATATTTAGTAAGCAGCAAACTTTATTAATTTTAAAAATTGTTATTTTTAGAAATAATAATTATATATATATATATATATATATATATATATATATATAGAGAGAGAGAGAGAGAGAGAGAGAGAGAGAAAGAGAGAGAGAGAATAATACAATCAAATTTTAATTAAACTTAATATATTATACTATATAACACTTCCATTTATAAATACAATTTCGAAACTTTATACATCCTTTTTTTACAACACATTTTTTTTAGTTGAATAGTTTTATTTTATTGTAGAGAGAGTATATATTATTATTATCAATCATTTATGAATTACTAGCTGTAATAGCATTCAATTGATTCTTAATCAAACGAAAAATATCTCTTACCTGCGTGAAATTTAAATCCGGATACATGGAAATATTTTCTTTCTGAAGGCTGTTTGAAGTCTTATAAATTTTCGGAATAGACGTAATAGTTGCTCTTGTATGTACTAAACCTTTCAATAAAATACATAAAATTGTTCCAAATATAATTTGCATTTTTTGTAAATGTTTGCTCAATCAGTTCCCGTTGAATTCTTAGTTAGTTTTTTCTTCTCACTCTATTATTTTTAATGTGCTAATCGAATTGATATTAATTCATATATACACACATCATTCTTACGATTGTGTTACTACGTATGTTTTTTAAAATCCACTATTCGTACACAATTACACGTTTTCTGTGATATTCATATGATGAAATTTGAATCAAGCGACAAGTAACGCGGTAGTGTCTTTGGCTAGTAGCGAGCACAATGATAAATGACTTCGAATGATCAATTTGATCATGTGTTGCCATGACGTCTTATTAACTGCATTCCATTTGTAATTTTTTTCTCTCCGGTGCGATACTTGGCGTTAAAAAGAATTAAAATCTTTAAAAATTGTTTGACAAAAAAGTTATATATGTATAAAACAAAAATAGTTCTATATATAAATAAAAATAATTATATGTACATATAACTGTTTAATGAATTATATTAAATTATTTATATTAATTTATTTTTGCGTATCTTCTCTTTGGCATAGGAGAGAGACGTTTATATAAAAGATATTCTGATTATAATGAAAGTAATAATGGATTTAAAAAAAGTGATTTATACGTTTTCTGTGATATTCATATAATTCATATAATGTAATTTGAATACGTAACGCGATAGCGTTTTTACACTAGTATAAATAAATACAAATTTACAATATATAAATAACTAAAATAAATAAAATAATTGTACGAATTATTATTATCGTTTTTTGCATTGAATAATCTTATAATATAATAACAACGTATACAATATAATTTTATTTAATATTAACTTAACATAATATACTTAATAGAATATAATATAATATAAAAACTTATAATATTAATTACTTTATTATTTTAATTATACTATTGCAATTTTATATACAGTAATCTTTAGATACATCAGTGTGCATTAATGCATCCAATTCAATCAAATTCTCTCTTTCTCCCGCTATAAATGATCAATTACTTTATTTCCAAAAAGTGTTATAAACACTTAATTACGTGAAATATAATTAAAAATTAAAAATAATTCTGTGATGCTCCGGTCTCCTTTTGTGATATATATCCAGTCCATTTATATTAAATAATATACAATATTTTTATTTTAAAAATTTCATTATATTATCAAAGAAACATTCAGCATAGAAAGATTTAAACAAGTATTTATATAATGGTCTCCTTTTAAATTTATGTATAATAATAGATATATTTTCAAATATTTTATAAATTTATTTCCTCCAACAATGATATATGTACGTACAAAAATTTATATGTATAGTTTGAAATAAGAAAAAGTTTCAAAACATAATATAAAAAAAACTTAAAAAGAAAATTATAATTGTGTATTAATATTTATGAATTTACAAAATAGTTAATACTACATTAAAAAGTGTAGATCTTATATAATATATAAAATACAAAAATTTACATGTTAAATGTCTAATATATATCGTGAAAAACAAACATTTTAATATTAATACATGCATATCTATCTACAATTATTCCTCATTAACTAAAAGTTATGTATATATCAGTTAGAAAATATAAGTATAATGTTTAGATTTAATAAATCTCTTCTATGTCACTTTTTAGAACTATAATATTTTCGAGACAAAATTTGATGTATGGTTTAATTTCATTGCATTGCAACAAGACAGCACTAATATTGGACAGTTAAGTGGACAGTTAACCCTTTAACTACGGCATTGTCAATAGATGATTAAACATTTTATGGCTGTCGTCAATAAATAACTTTAAGATATGCTATGATGCGAAGATTGCTTATTGATAATTCCAGGTAGCAAGCACGCGTCATTTTGACGTTCCAAACTGGTCATTTTTGGTCATATGTCGTCAAAATTACTGATATGTGACATGACTTTATATATTGATGTCTTGA